AGAATAAATTAAATCAATGTTTATCATGATTTATTGAGAAGTTCATTAATTGAAGTACAGTTTTATTTTTATCACACACGTCTACAATTTAATACCTGATTAAATATAAACTGAATTACGTTTTAAATAGACTTGAATAATTGAGTGACGCTGATTTTAGATCTACCTTTGGGGTTTTTTTTGTATCACGTAAGGTTGTTGGACAAAACAGTACATAATAACATAAATGGCATGTGCGATGATTTATTTATTCTTATAACGCCAATGTGGTGAGTTTAATTTCCTTGAAAAATTATGAAAAATGATCCTGTACATAGATACAGATATATTCATATTGATGTAGAAATAATTTTTATTACAGAAGATTTATTATTTTTGTCATTCTTATCATAGTGTAACACTGTTATTGGCACAATTTAAGAGATTAATAATTGGGACATTATTTAGTATGATATCGTACCAATGGGGATCAGGAATTATTTGAATTTCAAAATTGATAACAACAGGATTATATGCATGAAAAGGTTAAAATTCCGCTGAACATTTTACAAATATTTGGATTGTCTAAATCATCAATTTATCGTTTTTACTACAATTTGTAATTTTATATACAATTTATAATAATTAACTTGAAAATAATAAATTTTTCGTGAATTTGATTAATTCAAACTGAAGTAAACATTGTTTTATGAATATACATTTAATTTCAAGTGAATTAATATTAATCATTCAATTATTTTCGAAATAATCGTTAGAAATATTTGAGTATAATTCTTTTTTACTTTTAAAATGTTTTATTCATCTCATTGAATAGATATTAATTAGAAATTCATAATCCCTGATTGAGTTAAGAGCTTGATTTATTAATCACATTGGCACAAAGCCAATCAGTCATTTATAAAAATGATTTCCTGTCAATTTGTGCAAGTATTGAAAGTTCTTCTACTTAAACTTTTGTATTAACTTCTGTTCTTTCGTACATGAAAATCGATAAATTGGAAAACTCATCGACAGTAACTTAACAGTCTATTATGAGGTAAAATGTATTTTTGTTTGCTTTACTCAATACTCTACAACTCAATAACTCAAAATGAAGATGAAAAGTGACAAACAGAAAAATTACAAAGAGTTGAGTCTATCATTTCTGTTCGTAATTGTCTTTCACTGATGTCATCCCTTTAATATTGAAAGAAAATATCGGATTTTCCAGTTTCCCGAATGTTTCCGTTTGAATTCCTAACACGTGTGCGCGCTAGTGTATCGTATCACTCGTGAATATCGGCTGAACTGACACTCCAGGCGAGAAAGCTTCGAGCTCGACTGGATCTACATCTAACCAGTAGTAGCATAGTAGGGTAAGTGAAGCCTCGCAAAGTTTGTTGCACGACCGTTTGCTTTCCAGTTCATTCACTGCAAAATTTTCTGCGGCTCGCACTTCCATAGTATAAAAAGGGATACTTCGCTGCTGCAATACCTAAAATATTCCACTTGCTTTACAGTGATTTATACCTTTGCTGAATCCCAGTAATGATCAACTATTCGTTGATCAGTTCCACTAACGTTGCCACGTTGATAAATGTTTTTAGATCATTGGAAAACTATTAAATTTCCATGTATCTACAATAAGGAACATTTTTCATTGATAAACAATTATTTATTTATAAATAACAAGCATTTTGTTACTGTTAAGTTTTTTGTTTGAATTATTGAGAGTAAAAATGATTCAAATACGAATATTAGTTAATTCTTTTTTTAACATATTTGTTGACAGTAGCCATTTTTTGTGAAAACTCAATTTGTTTTTTTTAATTGTTTTACGCCAAAAAAGCTATCACTAAATGGTTTTGTCGCATGTAACTTTGAAGTGCGATATGTAAAAAAATTCCTTTGTTCATTTGAATCCGATTATAAATGATATTGATATACATGGAACTAAATTTACAATTCGTACTGAATTATTTTCTTTCAACTTTGTAAATATCAGATAAAATATTGTATTGTTATACAAATAACAATTTTTATAAAGTTTATACAATTCAAAATACGATAAATTAAACAAAAATAAAATTTTTTTCTTTCAAAAAAATATTTTATAGATCAGTCCTTTTTCGGTATTTTTATTTTAATTAAAAAACAAAAATGAAAATATGATCAAAGAAATGACTTTGGTATTTCGTTTTTAGGTAAAAATTTTTCAACGGATTATAAATTCTTGGATGAATCAGTTTGAAGAAAAAAGTTCAAAAGTAGTAAGCCAAAGTTGTGAAAAATAAACATATATATATAGAAATTAACGTGATCGTCGATAATTAACTCATTGGTAGGAGACAGAATGAGTGCAGTGGAGAGCACTGGAACTGCACGTCGGTGGAAATCGACAATTATCCACTTGGGCACTCGACGAAGTTCGTTATATGCACCAGATTATATAGAGTCAATAGAAATTTCAACGTAGTTTAACAATGTTCTTGGGAAACACAAATGACAGGTTCATAACAGTTACATCTCCATTTTCTACTGACTTATCGTCGTAAAATTGGTAGACAGTTTTATTCGTATTTGCTTTTTTATAATCACACTTCAAATAAAGTTATTATGATAGTAACGTATCTTTATGTTCTAGAAGATCAAAACTTGAACATGATAAACTCACAAGGACAAGTAGAAAAATGGCTCGAGTGTCATCATATGAAGATGAAAAAAGGTTTCTCAACGGAAGCGACGAACTGTTAGTAAATTTTTGTTTATGTTGCCTGTTGGGAGCCTTGGTTACTTTGCTTCCAGTTGGTATGAATCTCGTAGTGAACGCTTTTTCCTTTGCAACCCATTCTCGACGTGCGCCGCTCAACCCTCTTTCGTTCCATTGCGAGCTCGTAAATATAACCAAGCCCGAGGGTTAGCCCGTTCTGAATCTCTCAGAAAATCCTCTAGGGTCGTACCAATCACAGATATCGTTTTACCTTAGATATCTAGAATTTTCGATTCTAAAAAAGATAGAAATTTTTTAAATATTCATTCTGAAACAACTCGTTTATTTAATGATAAGATAAATAACGATTTACCAAAAGAATAAACTATAAATCTTTAATCTTTTGATTATCTCAATAATAATAAACAACCGAGAACAAATTACAAAGTATTGAAACAAATATTTTTTACGTTTCAAAAACTGAATTTACTTTTTTTAATTTTAATTAATGACCCTGAGCTACTTTATTAGTTCATAATTATTCTGGAATTTTATAAAATATATTCAATAATATTGAAAGAATTTACGAATAATATTTTACATAGTTTTATATTTTATCAAAAGAAAAAAAATATTTTTTTAATCAATTATTCATAATTCAAATTTTAAATTAGTAATTGAATAAATGAACTGTTGTTCGATTCTATTTTAGTTACAGAATTGTAATATTCTTTATAAATATTCATGCTTCTATTCATTTACTAAAGATTCATTATTTTAATTCATTTATATATCAAAAATGAATAATATTATTGGAACTAATCTCAGAAACAATCTCAAATAAATGAAATTTACCATCAAAAGAAATTTTTCTAATTTATTTTTAATATTTAAAATAGAAAAGTTCTCTTTTGAATTTTTTTCCTAACGAATAATTTTTCATGATAAAACGGATGATTACATAAAAATACAGTTGTAAGAGAGTGTTATGTATTCTCATATAATTACATTCTTGTTAAATTTTTTTTCTTTCAAAAAAAGTTTTTACGTAAGAATATAACAAAAAATATTTCAAGAAATTATGCTTCTGGAGTATAAAAACAAACTAGGAGTACATCGTGTAATCTAAGATACGACGTTGCATGTTGTTAGGTATGAGCTGCATCAGCCACAAGGCAACCTTTGACATGCAAATACGTTCGTAACTGCTGCATCAAACTAGGACCGTTGATTTCTTTTATTTGATCTAGAGACGTCACCAGTTCTCTTTGTTGTGCTTTTCAAGAAATTTAATCGGAGCTTTGCTTGTTCAGCTTAGCAAGCAAATCAATGTATTTTATATTATTCTTTTCATTCAAAAAAATTTGAAGAACAAAAAAAAAAGAAGTGTGAAAATTTTCTCATCTATAAAATATTCTATAATATGAATAATTTTTATAATGTGCATTAAAGAAGTTATCTCAAAAAAAAACTTGTAAACAGATTTCAAACTTGTGATCAATAGTTGGTTTTTTTTGAAATATAAAATATTATGAATTTATCTAGAGATAAAATTTACATTAAAATAGCTACAAAATTATCGAATAAATTTTGATTGAAGATATTTTATTCATCATTTTTGAATAATATCCATTCAATTTAATCACAAAAGTAGTTCTCAATGCGGAAATATTTATTCCTTTTTAATTGTCCTCTGCATGAATAAGTCGATTTAATTCTGAATCTAATCAGTTCTGAATTAGAAAAAAAATTCAACACTTAAGTGTTAGTTGACAGAATAAGTCGAACAATTTTCAGGATATTGTTGACGAACATCTTATTCTCGCGTATATAAAAGTTTTCTGAAAATCATTGAAGATTATTTTTAAAATGTTGACTCGTAAAGGTTTTTCACCAATAAAAAACATTGATATCAAGATATTTCAACTCGTTTAAGAAAAAGTTTATTTCTTTTTTTTTGAAGAAATAAATAAATAAAAACATTTATTTATCTGAGTGATGTTAATTAGAATAAAGTCTAATTATTTTGAACTGTAATTAATTGTGAGTGGATTGTAACGAATAAAAAAAATAGGAAAAATGGCAAAAATTCTAGAAACGATAAGTTTTAACATCGAAATGTTTATAAAATGTCCTCAAGTGATAAAAAAATCCGTTTATTATTATTCTTTTTTGTTTTAAACTTTTTTCTGCTGTAAAAAAAAAGTCGAGTCCCTTGAGGTACGGGGGTTGAGTTCTTTAAGAGATAGAGCATGCGCAAGTTCCAGGGGTGCCGTACAGTGTAGGGGTTAGTTGCTCGCCAACACTAAAACGTGTCGTGTGCTTCTCCACGCACCTGTGTCTACTCTCTCGTGACTTCTATCACTTGAAAAACCGTCACAAGTAGTTTAAAAGAAGATTATAATATCAACATGAGAAAAAAATATTTTCTTCACACATTTTATTGAATTTACAGTAAAATGCATTATTATAAAATAAAGACTATTATTAATAAAATTATTACTTAGGATTAAGTGGTGTTTTGTAAAAATCAACTTTTTAAAAATTTTCACTTGTTGGATTTGAAGAGGGTGAATTTTTTTTCGTGACAAAAATAGTGGTGTTTAATCAAACTATCTTCAATTATACAGTCTAATTAATTAACTAATCGGTGTAATTAAATAATTAATTAAATTGTAGTATAAGTGTGGTAATTCATTTTGAATAGAACTTGATTAAAACTGAAAATAGACTTCTTTATAAATTGATTTTTAGTTATTGAGTGAAGTGTTATAATAAAGAGAAACGTACGTATTTTTTTCAATGTTTCTTAACTAGATCTACTTCAATACAATACTATTACATTAAAAAGGAATAATGTCATTCAGTAAAACATTTTTATTGTTACATCAAAACAAAAACTGTCGATATGAAATATTTGTCAAATTAATAAAAAGTAGGTCAAAAATTTTTAATTAGCGCACACAATATTGAAATATTTATTTTTAACATTCGTTATTTTTTTTTATTTTGTTTTTAATTAATTAAAAGTTATTGATACTTCTTTATGGACACAAAGACATAAATATAACGAGTAGTTCGTAATGGTGTTCATGAAGATACAGATGAATAGGAAGTGAGTTATTTAAGACGCGCAGTTGATGGATCGCAATAGGTAATATTACAGTAGGTTTCCGGTATACAGAAACACATTAGCCCGACGGCGTTCGTTATACTTCCACCCGACACGCCCGGAATGAACGATCCAAAGATCTAAGATAACCTGCTGAGTTTTACTGCACCCGTAGGAGATAAGACGGCAAAATGAGCGACCTCTTTATTTCAGCAAAATTTTGCCCTTTCGCCTGTTTTCCCCTAAAATCTTTCAAAGAGTCTCGTGTTTGATCTCTACTCCCTCGTGAGACTAAAATAATAATTTATCTGTCAAATTTATCTTAAAAAGTTGACGTTCATCCGCAGACTGAGAAAGAGATTGATAAAGGTGAAAAAAGATTGCAGTAAAAGTGGAGTAATAAAGATAAGTAGACTAAGTAAATACGATTCATTATGTAGAGTAAAGTAGCAATGGTAAGAGCGTCCATGGTAGATACAACACACAGGAATACAGAAGGGTATGACGCTGGAATAAAAAATTCAAATAAACCGCAGTAGCAAGTAGGAAGGGTCGGAAGGACGTGTGTTCCGGTCTGCCGAAGAGATGAAAGGGAACACCCGGGTTCTGTATTATATTTTTAAAATAAGACAAAAAGTCATGACAAAAAATGGCAAATAAAAAAGTGCGAAAAAAAGAAGTGAAAAGTTATTGAAAACAAACTTGATGAATGCTTAGAATAAAGACCAGATCGAAAAACTATCGTTAATAATAATAATTACTTCTGTTAGAAATATATCTGTTAGAATTTTTAGAAATTGATATATCCATTTCCTATTATATTGTAAAATATTTGTATGTCGCCATCTAATGACTATTAGACTAACGACAGTTTGTTAGTTAACAACGATTGCTTGACGATTAGATTGTTTATAGCAACGAGGGGAGAGTTTGTTTATCTCCAGTTTTTGTCTGAGACTTGAGTTGACCGCACGGATTCTTACTTTTAATTAATTGCTGTCAATCATTAATAAACATTTTAATTAATTTACTAATTTTCCGAAGTTGTTATTGAGTCTTATTTTACAATATTCATGCCAAAAATCGCGAATAGAATAACTGCTTTCAAATCTGAATGATGAGGAAATGAATATGATCGAACGAGAGAATAGGTAATTATTTTGCATATAAATATGAAAATTACTGGATTTTGGGAATATTGAAAATATGAGAATACGAGAGAATAGAACTTTAATAGTTGAATAATAACCTAATCCATAAAATAATGGATTACTGTAAATAAATGATGAAAATCAACGAATTAAATTTCAATTCTTTGAACTAACAAGAAGAAATGAGTGTAGAAAAAAGAAGCAAGTAAATTCAAAATGACTGAGCAAGAATGAAATCAGAATAACATTAAATAAATACGTATGCAGTGAAATTTTCTAGACCATTTAAAATATCTAGATAAATATCTAGCATATCCGGGTGGGCAGGTACCCTGACCAAGTGATGTCCATTACGGTTAGCAGAAGGCTAGTGGGTTACCTTTATATAACCTGTAGCTAGAGAAAAACTGTATTACAGCAATTTTACATGCAAAAGTTATTAGCTAAAATTGTCTGAAATTATATGAAGCTAAAGGTTTCGTGCAGTGGTCACTATTTATACGAATAGAAATGTATTCATGCGTTTATGTTCATTTCTTTTTCATTTTTAAAATAAACTATCTCGCAACTCACATTTCTCACTTGACTGAAAAGCTATGCAAATATTGTTAGAGACTCGTGAACACGGGACACTTGCATTTGCAATATTGACGCAGATAATTAATTATTAATGAATCGACTTGGGAATACCGAGAAAAATTGTTTTATAACGCTTTCAATTTTTTCCAACTGTGCAGAACATTCCGTTATTTTTTCAGCAAAATAATTGTTTCAAGTAATCATACTTTAGCTTTTTTGTAAATAAAATTAATTGTTTTTTTTTTTTGGAATTGCAAAATTAATAAACTCTTTCTAACAAAAAAAAAATTACTTTCAATTTTTTCTTTTATAAATAACCTCAGTAATTACTTTCTCTATTTATGTAACTTTTTCTGTAGAGAGATTGGATTTTAAATCATGATGTTTGAAAATAATTAAATACTTTATTTAATTTAATTTTAAAATTTTAAAGAAATATTCACGAGATATGAACCACGTAAAATGGCAATTCTTATAAAATAGTAATATCAATATTTTGTTTAATTTCACAAAGAATCTTATTATGCATTTAAAATGTTTATTCATGATTTTAGTTAAAAGCATTACATTTTTTTAAAAGATTATTTGTATTTTTCGTGCATGTAATATTGCACTGTGTCAAAAGTGATATGCATAATAAATGCATGAAACTTATTATTCAAAGGCAAATATCAGTTCTAGGGAGTAAATTATCTAGCGTTTCAGTTTCTTTACTTATTCAATGATAAGCGTGTCTGGCATGAAGTGCAGTACTCTGTGTATAGTTAAAGCTCATCGCTCTGGCCAGCCGTAAACAGTTCGTTGGGTTTGTTACAACCGGTAGCTCTCGTGCTATATAAACTTTCCTATGTTTGCCCTTACTTCCTCTGAGTGGATGATAGGAGTCCGAAAGTTACGGTTTGTTAAGAATGTTACTTACTATGGAGCCTTTGTTTCAAACTTGAAAACAGTTTTTTTCGCCTGAATAACATTGAGAACTATGTAGCTCGAGTACTTTTAAACTATCAACTAAATCCTATTTCGCAATTGGATCAAAAACTCGTCACCTGCAATACAAAATCTGACGCTTAAAGGCCTTCATAAGAAATGCTGTGTCACTTTTTATCCAATAATAGAAGTATGATGATTTATGTGAGTAGAAATTAACCGTGATATCAATCATTGGTAGTTTTATCTTGAAAATAATTTTCAATTAATGAATAGTTTATATTGTTGTTGAATTATAATAAAATTTATTTTTTGTTAAAAACAAACCTTCAAATGTAAATTTCATATTCCGTTTTCATTGATTTAACACTAAATTCAATATTTGTAATTTACTTTGTGGTTTGAAGTATAATAATTTTTTATCTGTTAAATCAATAGATTATATATATACAGATAATAACAATGTATATTATTATCTTTATACAAATAACAAAAGTGTGGGATGCGGTCGGTGGTCAATACGCTATTGAATCTTGTGATTGCGGGTTTGATTAAAACATTAATATTACCTGGGCAAAGATAATTAATTTCTTTGATATAAATACGGAGGGAAATTATCAAATTAAATGTTATTAATTTAGTTATGCTTAATTAGAATGAAATCTACTGTCTAAAAAGGATCTTTATCAGTAAATAAATTACTAAATTATTTAGATAGAAGACTCTTCCAAATAACCACTGCGTAAGAGCATGAAAAGATTACAAATTTTTGAAAAATATAATGTTACAATGTTTATCATCAATGGAGCATTGTTTTGAGTCAAAAATAGAATTAAATGAAAAAATGAGTATATTGTAAAATTGTTTGTTAATAATTGCCATTTATTGTTTACTATCAAACAGAATAGAACAAAATGCTTGAATATTTTCTGTTAATTTTCAAAGTATTGATATTTTAAAGTAAATTATTAACAATATCAAATGGCTCAGTGGGTATCATATAGTTCATTTTTATAGTTTAAATAAAGATCTATTATTCATCAAAATGCCTTTGATAATAAATGATGCATCAGCATTATCAAGTAATAAATACAGCATACTGACATTAAAGTTTTCTATTTAATACTAATAAATAGTTGAAAGCTCGCATAGTCGTCCATACAGATCAGGATTAGAAAGAGATAGCAGAAACGTTTGATGGGTGAATGACTCAGCTGTAGATGTGGGTCAAGTTTATTCCGTTGAGAAGAGGAAGAGCTCGAAAAGCTGAATTTGACGAACTGGAAAGACAATCTTAACCTCAAGAAAACCACTCATAAGAGCGTGCGGTTGCAAAGGAGATAAATTAAATCTGGAATACTCAATATAATGATAAACGATAATTTCTCTAGAATATAAATTTTATTCACAAAAAAAGAAAAAAGAGTCACAGTAACACTTTAAATCGATTTAAATGCAGCATGGCTCCATTATTATTTTGTTTAATAATATATGGAATGTATTATTTCAACCAGGGTGTAATTTTGATTTATTTATATTAATAACATATTTATTTATAATATTGATTGTTAAAATTAATGATGGTTTGTTGAGTTATTAAATTTATTTTTGTATTAATTTGGTACAGAATCAATTGGTAACTATAATGATTTTTGCATTGGTTACTGGAATTTTATTGCGGTAATTCAATACTGAGAAAAACTTTTCTCAGTGAATGCATTTATTTATTCATTTATAGTTGATTTTAACAATTATAAATTCGATCAACTTAATGGTTTATTACGGGCAAATAAATGTGTTTTGCAACAGCATTGGTGCATTAAAACATAGAATTTTCTCTCATATTTGAAACATTTCCAAATTTACTCATGTTAAGTATCAAAAATTTCACTTTGATAAAAGTATACCAATAAATAAAGTTGAAGTTTAATGCATTCAAAAACTCTCAGTGTTATCATCAAATTTTTACATCAGACAACTTAGATGAAGTTTATGATTCTTTAATATCATGAACTTTTCAACTCCTTGAATAATTAGAACTATAATATTTGATGACTTCATATTCCTTTCTCTTCCTGTCAGGAAAAAAAATCAAAATGAAATAACTTTTTACTCAAAAAACTATTCTTCTCATTGAATATATAAATGATAAAGTTTTTTTAATATGACTAATGCTGGAGAGTATGCAAAGTGGGGTTATTATAATATAAATGAATCTAGCACTTGAAAAAGGGGCGGAATGATTCAACGAATCTGAGTCACCATATATCTATTCCCAAACCAATTTGTTCCATTAGCCCGTGGTCATGTAGTTGCCAGGCATGGTGGGTGTATAATTCAGGGCCGATTTTGTAAAAATTTGCCGTCTGCGTGACTAGCTAGATAAAATATGCAACAGACGAACCACTAACATACCCCTTGTGCATGCGAGATAATACCATTGGACATCTGTTGAACTCATAAAGAATTCCTTCTCCGAATTACCATGCATCCTATCGCAGCATCAATGTGTGGTTTGTCACGTGTGACGAATTGCAAACTTAGATTACAAGCTGATTGGCTAATTCTGAGAGGAATTCTCTAGTCATCAGTTTGCTTAAGCCAATTGCAAAATTTCGTGCTACAGAACATAAGGGTGCCCACATCAAATTCATCTACTGTTCCATCTAATTTACTTTTATCTTTTTCTAATTTTATCTCTCTAGTGTCTTTACATCATGTCACATATCTCATTTCTTTTCTTTCCTTGTTTCAGGTCATATTCGATTGGGGCTCGCGTTTAATAAGCATCCCTATGTCTTTCGAAAGCCCTACCAAGAATTTTATGAGGGGAAATACTGCAGACAAGGGTGAGTAAATATAAGCGTTAGGGTGTTCTTTGAAAACCCAAAGGAGTAGCATTATTTAGTGCGTTGGTGGATATATAACACGCTTCGTGTGGAGAAACAGAACGAATTATTTATAAGTCAATTTTAACGGGAATTAAAAGAAGTTGGTTTTAGAATTTTAGGTAATATCAAATCATCTTAAATTTTTTAAAATTATATTTTCAAAAGATACTAAAATTATTTCTTTTAGTCATTTATCAAAAAAAGTTATTCGATATTGACATTTTTTTAATCAATACTTCTCTTTGACGGAGAAAAATTTATATATAACTATTGGAAATTTCATTTATTATGGGAAAACTATTTAATAATTTCATTCATTGAATATTATTCAAATACTCAGGTACGGATATTAATATTTAACTGATTTAATTCAAAACATTTTTAAAATCATTGAAAATAACTATTACAAAAATCATTTCATTAATTCAGATAAAATATTTTTAGAACATTTATGCAAGTTACTTATTCAAAAAATTAATAATAAAAATTATTCAAATTGATTGAACACAAAAAATCTGAGCTTTTAGCACGAAAGTATAGAAAAACATAAAATATAAAATGAAAAAATCCACATATTTAAATTCTGAATAAGAATAGATAGATTTATGTTACTCGTTATTTCTTATTCAGTCGATGTACATTGGATTTAAAGTTAAGAGAGTATAATTTAACGTTTGAAATATAACTCTCATATAGTCTTTGCTCTTTTCTTGGTTAACTTCGAAGAAGACAATACAATGACATTCACTATCTATGTAACACAAGAACACTGAGTACATTTGCTCGTGGAAAATCCCGAATCATTTTTGTTTTCCCTGTGGATTTGAAGCTCTTAGTGAAAATGCTTGTGGATTGAAGATATAGGTCTGTAAGAACAACACAAAAGATAAATGCCATAGAAATAAAATTAATTTAACCAATTTCATCCATTTCATTATCCATTAAAAGAATGAAAGTTATTATTTTACTGAGATATAATCATCTCTAAATAGCAATTGACTATCTATTAACTCCATAAAAAACTTGAATAATCTTTAATCAAAAGTGTGCATTACATTATTACATAATTTTTTTTTTGTTAGCTTTATTAATTAATCTCGAAACTTTCAGCAGTATTTGAAAACTTTTTCTTGCTTATCGATTTGAATTAAACATGTAGACTATAGTAAAGTAATAGAACCAAAAAAAAGAGATACTGCTGCTTGATAGCTTTCAAGATAATTTTTTGGGGGATTTGAAAGTAACATGGAGCACTTTATCTTTTAGTAGGTCATTCAACATTTCTTCCTGATTAAATATTGATTGGCATTAACTCTTTAGACTATCAATACATTATAAAATCAGAAAAGCGACATCTTGACATGATCATTTGTTACTCACAAATAAATATGAGAAGTAAAATATATAAAGCCAAAGGCATTTATATTCTTCAAAATAGAGTGTTAATATGGTGTTTTATTGCATTTAGTTTGTTTCGCTTGAATTTTCGGGTCTTCACCAGACGAAGCTACAAACAAGTGTCGAGGGAATCAACACCCCTGGATACTTTTCATGTGGCAATGGTGCACCCTCGATCAAGCCCGCAATGTGTGCGTCCGTGTCATGCTGGTGAAACATTCGGGTTTTATGGCCAATTCACGTTATCGAACTGTGTAAAACTTGGCCGGGGTGATGACCCCTCACAACCAGGCGATAACGCATAATTGCGATTTATAGTTTCTGCTACTTCATTGGCAAGCACCGTGAATCACTCTGTAAAATGATGAAATCGATACTTTTCGATCTAAAAAGGAGAAGTTGGTTAAATAAAAAACAAGGGCTAAGTAAACTTTCGAATTGGTTACATTTAAAAATCAATATTGGCTTACGATTATATTTTTATTTTTATGTCACCTATGAAATATGGACGTGTATAGTGAAGCTTAAAAAATATTTCTGCTATCGATATGGCCCGATAAAAAATTTATTTTAAATGAAAGGATATAGTAGAGTATAGTCAGTTTATTGATCAAATATCGAGGGATCAAAAATAATCCCATTTGGTTAGAGTACGTCATTGCAGAAGATGAAAAAATTCCGTTTTTCGGCTATTTTTTTTTTATTTCTTCTATTGGTTTAATCAGAATAGCTAAGGCAGGATTATAGATACCCTCTGTTCCAAGATAAATGATTTTTTTTTGTCATACTTTTGTATCAAATCTAGTGGAAAATATAATTTATCTTTTTTCTAATATAATTCATTAATTAATATTAGACATTTATTTTAACGTATTACTGTATTAAAGTTTTTTATTGAGACATATTAAATCATTAATGATTTAAGACGCTAATCTCACTATTTTTTATTTATATCCAATAGCTTTTTCTCCTAATTGGTGGCTTTTTTGATTTAGAAGTTTTATTCAATTAATTTTTTTCCTTCGGATTGTATTTAATCAAAGCTTATATTACTTATTATTTATTTTGATTTTTAATATAAATTAATAGTGATGTATTATGTTCCGAAAAAATATATTGTTTTTGTTCATCATTCATACTGCTAAAATTTCCAAATCTTCATTTCAGCTTTCAACGAAATAGGTTTGCAGAAAAAAAGTTATAACCATTTTAAACTTCTATTTTTCAAGCAAAATAGACTATTATCATTGCTTTGAGAATGTTTTTTGTTTATTTCGATGCCTTTCAAGAGAGTTATAATCTATTGATTATCAAAAGTAAGACTGGACTTTTCAATTTGAAGGAGAAAGTCTCTTGTTTTCCAGTTGAAGTATCCACAAAATATGGAGGAACTAGACAAAAAGGGAGGGTTTAGAACACACAAAGAGTAAATAGAGAAACATACAAGTATGCTCGACATTCAATAAAGGCTTAAAAAGGAACCATTTCAAATTTCAATAAAAATTATTTACTCAGAGATTTTATTTCTGATTTAGAAACAAAAGAATTTTTTTTGTCACTAGAATAAATGACCTCACTATTTTCCAAGGATTTGTGATAAATCTTATATTGAAAGAGTTGAAGAAGAAAAGCTAGGCTAAGTCTCCAGAAGAGCTGTGCTAGCTAAAAAATATGGAGTTAATTCGAGAAACAAACGCACTCGACCTCTACTCGTCACAAGTTTCTTCTTCCCAAGTTCTTATGTGACTTTTATGCTCGTTTATGTCATCATTTCATTCAGTCGATCAATTTCTTCCAAAATTTAGCCAGTATACAATCTCAAGTTGACATTTGTGAGGTAATTCTCCAGTTTCACCAATTTTCACATTAACTCGATCCACTCTTCGATAACTTAAAAAGCTGACGTTGCATAATATTCCACTCTCCATTTCCCAAGGGCGAAATATACCTTTAGCCACTTCCCTTCACACTGTGTGTTTCCGAATACTGCTGATCTGACACCTTGCAGCCTTGTTCCTAGGGGATTTCCTAGTTTTACAGTCAAAGCAGAATCATAAAATTTACACGTGAATGCATCATAAACTTAGAGAATAGCAAAAATAGAGAATATTTTAAATCCTAAGTATTTCATAAAATAAATATTTCAGTTTATTTTAATTATTTCTGGCAATTTATGGAAAATTTATTGGATAAAATATTTTGAGGAACATATTCTTCTGTTGTGATGTAAAATAAAATTTAACAGGTATATCGTTGTCATTTATTTTAACTGAATGACGTTATGTCACTCATGGGGCATCATTAATTGCGTCTCGTTCAGTGAGCTTGGATATCAATCGTCCTATGTCCGGTTCTGCGTAGTAAATAAATAAAAATATATGTCACGGATATATCGCGAAAAGAACTTGGAAAACAATCAAACATGATGAATGCTTAGCAAATAGTTGTAAAAATGATTCTGATCATGTCTCTCCTGATTATTCTTTTAGAAAATAATCAAGTTCTCATAATTGTGATGAATGTAAAATTAGAATCTTAATAAATTATTTTATTTTGAATTTCATTTTCTCTTCAGCTTCTTAAGTTAATTTTATATATGAAAAAATGTTTTACACTAAGTTTGATTAATAGCTAAATATACATTCCATTCTTTAAAAGTGTTGGAAAGATGGAATTTAGTTTAAATAATTACTATGCTTTATGTAGAAATTTCTACTTCAAACAATTTGTTCTTTAGTTTCAGGAATATATGCTCTCAAATATAACATGTTTGTTCTCATTAAGATAAAAAATATGAAAAGAAATTTTGTCATTTATTTCTTCTGAATAATAACAGTCACTTCCTTGTTGAACATACTGTAAAATAATAATGAATTACACAATTTAGTCATTAATTTAATCAAATGTGTAAAGCTGATAAAATTTGATTAACCGAATTCCAAATAAATTTTTATTAGCTGTAAACATGATGTCAAAATAAAACGTAGAAGCACATTACTTTAATTAAACAAAAGATTTAAATGAATAATTTAAAAAAATATGATAATTAATTATCGAATAAGTAGATAATACTATTACATGCACTTGCAATGAATAATGGTCTGGTTATCTACTACTGTTTATTATTCGTGCAAAAAAGTTAATACAGATTATCTACGAGAGCATCTATTTTCTCTCCTAATATTTACTGTTTAAAGGAAAGAAGCATGATTGTTTTGTGATAGTTTATCATCATGTAATTAAAATATTTAGTTAACTTTGTTGCAAAGTTTTATTCAAAATTAAATATAACTTCAAAAATAAACATCAAAATAAATTAACTTTTAATTTTGTTTTATAATAAAAATTATATTGAATCTATTCCAAAAGCTCTTTAATAAATATAATATTTTTAATCAAAAGCAATCATTATTGTTAACTTATAATTAGTTATTGTTAAAAATAATTGCTATTATTTGAAGAATGAACTCACTAGAGAGTTAATGTTTTTATTAAATATTTAATTAGAGTACGCTTGACGACAAACGATTGAATAAATAATTGAAAAACGAGCTTTTTGA